ATCACCAAGTGCCCCATGGGAACCAGCCCAGCACCCAGCAATGGTCCCTGGTCCTTGGAACCTGCTCCTGCCAGGTCCCTGTAGCCCCCCACATCACTTGCAACACCCCCCAGCACTTGGTGAGGCTGTGGGCAGCCTCACACACTGAGCCCTAGGCACCTCACCGATGTTCTTGTAGTAGATGGGGACAAAGACATTGATGGCTCGCTCCAGCCCCATGAGTGCCATGCAGAACAGCACCAGTCCCTGCAGCAGGTGATTGCCCCTCGGCCACATGTATGGCACCAGCAGCCGCAGCTTCCTCCGGAAATCCTTCCAGGTGGAGGAGGTTCTGCTGCCATCGGACAGGAGCGGCTAGAGGAGAGCAGAGCAAGGGATCACTGCCCTGGCACCTCAGCCCAGCTGGCAGCAGCCCTGGGGAACACCAGCTCCATTCTCCCAGGATCCCCCTTCAGGGCTGCATCCTGCTTGACAGTGGTCAGGGAGCTTGGGCAGCCCTAATCTTGCTCCTCCCAGGCCTGAAGGAAGGAGGGTGCTGATCGCAGACAGCCATATGTCCCCAGCTCCCCTCTGGACATGTCCCCAGACTGCTCCAGACCTGGGACTCACCTGGCTGTTCTCCACATCTCGTTCCTCCTCATTGACCAGCAGCATGTAGGGCTTGTGGGGCAGCCCGGGGGCTTTCATGCCCAGGATGAAGAGCATGAATGTGCATATGTAACGTAGCAGCCAGAAGCCAAACTGCACCTGGACAGAGAGTGGGGAGTCAGATGAATGTGAGCTGAGAGAAGCATGGAGCAGGGCACAGGGATAGGGTGAAGTGCAGCCAGGGAAGAGGGGACACCCCATGCAGCTCAATGGGACCCCCTGGCTGAGCACAGCACCTCAGGCAACACCCTGGCCATCTCCTTCCTCCCTGCTGCATCCAGCTCTGTGCCCTCCGGCTTTTCATGGCCCTACCCTGGGGGGAACAGTGGGGCAAAGGGCTGTGGGGAGGGCAGACACTCCTCACTCCTGCATCTGGGCCTGAGCCAGGCAGAGAGGGAGTTGAGCTGGATTGGGGCATGGAGAGATGTGCGATAGCTGGGCTCCAGGCTGAGACATGCAGCAGACGAGTGGGTGCAACCCAGGAGCATGCACACCCTTGGGCATGGCAGGGCACACACACCCCACCCCAGCACTCTGATGCTGCAGCCCCCTCTTCCTTTCCTCCAAGTGCCTGCCCCTCATCCCTGCCCACAGGCCCCCAGCTCACCTTCTGGTTGGTGTTCTCCAGCGCCCACCACCATAGTGGGCTCCTCCAGCAGACCAGGGTGAGGTTCTCAGCAGCAAAGGCCAGGGCCCAGAAAAGGAGGAGGATGGTGCCATGGCCCCGTATCCGGTCGTGTGCCAGCACCCGTGTGTGCTCCAGCTGCAGGAGGGCAATGGTGCAGCCCCAGCTGAGAGCCCAGAGGCAGGCGTGCAGCAGCATGTACCCATAGAGCCGTCTTGGCCCCACCACTTGCCACAGCAGCCCCCCAAAGGGCTGCAGGGCCAGGAGCAGGGACAGCAGGACCTGGCCATAGTAGAGGAGGGAGCGGGGGATGTACTTGGGCTCCATGGCACGGCCGAAGCGGACGTAGCAGGCATACTGCAGGGCGCCCAGCAGCAGGCAGATGCTCAGCAGCACAGTTGGTACCAGTGTGAAGAAGAAGCAGGGCTGGAAGCCCTGCTGGACCCAGGCCTGGGCGATGGAGTTGTTGCCCTCACAGTAGCCCCCCAGCACTGCCATCCTGGCAGGTCACCAGCTGCAGAGAGAAAGAGGGGTGGGAGGAATGTCTCAGGATGAGCTGTTGGGTACTGCTGAAAGAAGGGACCCACAGCTAAACAGAGAGAACAGGGACATGGGGACAGGGGCAAGCACCGCTGCACATGGACAACCAGGGCACAGTGTATGCAGGGCCAGGTTTGTGCGGATATGGATACGAGCACCACCAGAATCTGCCTGTGGGCCCTGGGAATGCCCGGGAGGGTGCAACTTTGCACTGTGCTCCCCAGAGCCACCGGGGCCCTTGGAGACGGACTCGGACAAGGAGGGCAGGGATAGGAAGGCAGCGAGGTGCTGGGACCAGGCTAGAGCGGGAAGGGGGGCAGAGCAGCGGCAGCCGGGTAACGGCAGAGGATGCGCGGGGAAACGCACGGGAGCTGCAGGGGCGAAGGCCGGGAACACGCACGGGGGGGACACACGTGCGGGGCGAGGGACGGGCCGGGGCGAGGCACGGCCGTGCCAGTGCTCTGCCCGCCCGGCATCGGCCGCGCTCAGCCCCGGGACAGGCGCTCCCGGAACGGCCGCGGCCCCGCCGCCCGCGCAGCCGCCGTTACCGGCCCCGCCGCCCTGCCCGCCGCGCCGACCAGGCCCCCGCCCGCTCACCTGCCCCGGGCCCGCCGGCCTCGGCCCGCTCCGGGCTCCGCACCGCCGCCAGCCGCCACCAGCCGGGCTCCGGCCCCGCCCCGCTCCCCGCCCCGCTCCTGCGCGCCTAGCCCCGCTCCGGCGGCAGGGCTGCGCCCCCGCGCGCTCCCCTCGACCGCCTCCCGCGGTGCGCGTGTGTCCCTCCGGTCCCTGGTGCCCCGCCCGGGCTGCACGGACCTGCGCCGCACCCCCGGCACCGGGCCCCTGCAGAGCCGGGGCGGGGGGTGTCAGTGGTGCGGGGAGAACGGGAGCTCAGGGGGAGTCCCCGAAGCCGAGGCGCCCGGCGCCCTCTTATCGGTGCCGCCAGAGCGGCTCTGCGATGCCGAGATATCCCCCGCCGCCCCGGCAGGGCCCTTGCCGCCGCAGAGGTCAGACAGGACGGGGCGCTGCCCTCCCGGAGATAAATATAGCCGCTGCCCCCCCTCCCTGCACTGGCACGGCCGGCTCCCGGGAGCTGCCAGCCCAGCGGGAGCAGCACGCAGAGACCTCGGAGCCTCCGGCTGCTATCACAGGCATCCACTTGGGTCCCTCCCACCCACCCCGCCGTGTCCAGAGCGGCGCAGGGTGAAGGAGACTCGGAGGCGGGCAGGGATGATACACCCCATCTTTATTAGACGGCTATACAGCTGTACAGCAAGGGCGCGGGGGGTGCGGTACCGCGCGCTCCAGGGTCCCCCGCGCCCGCACGCCCCGGGAGGAGGTGGGGGGGGGCGGCTCGCCATGCACATAGGACACCGACGACACAAGCACAACATGCGGCAAGGACTCTGGCCGGCTTCCGCCCGGCCGCTCCCTCCTGCTAGGCCAGGGAGAAACCCTGACTTCCCCCCCGCCCCACTCCCTGGGCCCTGCCGGCCTTCAGCCGCTCAGCACAGAGACCCTGGTGCAGGGTCCTGCAGCCCCGGGAAGCTCAGCTCCAGGCAGTGGCAGCCTAGGGGGCAGAGGAAAGCTTGGGCTTTCAGTTTCCGTCTGCCGTGACAGTGCTAAGCCCCAGCTGCTCCTCTGTGGGAGGCCCTCAGCAGCACCCAGGTCCACAGACTCCCAACTCCACTCAGACCAGACCCCAGCAGCAAAGAGCAGGTTCCCCCCAAGCTCTGCTTAACACGCTCCACTTGGACTCCTACAGACATCAGAGCAGTTGCAGCTCCTGTGTCTCCCCATTGCAGCAGGGAGTTCAGCACCCCCAAAGAGCCTGTCCTATGAACACCCCAGCCCTGCTCATGCCCTGTGTACTTGGTACACATACCCTGGGGAGCCAACAGCTCACCAGCACCACCCTGCACAGGCTCAAAGGGCAGAGGGCGAAAATCCTGGCAGGGAAAAGAGAGGTGGCCCTGGACTCCAGGAAGGGCAGGGAAGAACCTGCAGTGCCCTCAGAGGGCATGGCAAAAGCAACCAGCCCTTGCGCAAGGCAAGGAGAAAAGGGAGGGAAGGGAAAGCAAAGCCTAGCAAGGGTTAGTTGGGATGCAGATCCTCACGAGCTCCCACTGGAAGAGAGGGGAACCAAAACGATGGTGGGAAAGGCTTGCCCAAGGCCATGTGGCCCAGCCAGCATCCTGATCCCCCCTTAGCCATACCAAGGCCAGGCTGGGCTTTGCCACTCACTTCCAGGTTGAGGGGACTCCTGCTTGCCCCAGCAGGCACCAGCCAGATGCTTGATATATGGCCCCTACAGCAGCCAAAGCCATGTTGCAAGGAAAAGGATGGCTTCAGGAAGGAAAGAGGAGCTAGGAGCCCCCAGGTGAGATGCAAGACACTGAAGCCTTTGCTTGGGAAGAGGAAAGGCTCACAGAAACAGCTGCATCAGGAGGACAGACCCAACACACCACAACCTGTGCATGGGGCAAAGACCTTTAGCGTACCTGGGAAGGGCACCAATACAGAGAGCACAAGGTCTTCAGGGTGGGAGATGCCGGCTGCCCTGCACTAGGGTCTCTTTGGCACTGCTGAAGAGCCCATGGGCAGCCCACATCCCATGGGTGACACGCAGTGGGGAGGATGCTGCTGCCCTAGCCCAGGGATATGGCACGAGGCAGCCTGCTGGGAGGAATGTCAGGGACCCAGGACTTTCACCCCACTGACCCTTCCTTGGATGCAGGGGTTGGTCCAGCTGTTGTGGGAGCTGAGGAAGAGCTGCAGCATCCCTGCAGCTCAGCCAGAGCTGTTCCCACCAGCTCTAGATCTCACCCCTATCCACACCAGCAGCAACCAGAGCTCATCCCTCTGCAGGGTTCTGGGGCAGAAGAGTGGGTGATTGCCCCACTGCTGTCCTGCTCCAGGCTAAGGGGCACAATGGTGGTCCTCTCTGGGAGGGTGAACACGGTCCTGGGCACCTCCTCAGGGCTGCAGGCCGAGTTAGACCCCCTTCAACAGCTCCTGCCTTCATTTTGGAGTCCAGTCCCAGCTCTGAGTGGATAGCTGGAGCTGGGGCCATCTCACATCCCTTGGAACAGCAACCACCTCAAGCCAGTCCACAGCTCCCCACTGCTAGTCCTGTCGCACCAGCTTTCACAGGTTCTGCAGCGATCCTCTGACACGGATGACACAGACGTGACCACAGACACGGGTATGTACTCACACACACATTCACCCCACAAGAGTCAGAGTGGCGTTGACTTGACACATGGCTGGACACAAGGTGCCACCGCAAAGCCGCTGGCCGGGCAGTTTTGTCTCTTCGGCAACTGATGGCAACAAAACGGAGCCTGGGATGATCCTGTCCACTCAGGACAGGAGAAGAATCAGGCTGATGCCACATCCTGCTGCCCAGGCGGCTCCCAGTCTGCAACCCCCATCAGATCCCCAGTCTACAAGGCTATACCTGCAAAACAGAGAGGGAATGTGGCACCTGTCAGGACAAGCTGCCAGCACCCTAACCTTGCATCCAGAGTATACCCTGCCCCTCTCAGCCACAGCCTTCACCCCTACCTTGTGGATCTGTGGTGGAAGCTCATCCTCTGAGCTCTCCTCTGGTACAGGCTCTGGGTGTCTCGCTGACTGCCCGTCCTCAGCCCAGCCCCCCAGAGGGAGGCGGGAGAAGTGTGATGGGGCTCTGTGTACTGTGCCTGGGTCTGCAAGAGGGGCGAGAAGGAACATTAGCTACCTGGGGGACTGTTGGTGTCCAAAAGCAGGCAGGCTGCTCGTGTCAGTCCATCAAGGGCATTGGTTATGGGGCTCTGACCTCAGACCTGGCTCCCATACCTGTGATGCCACCATATCGCCGCTGGAAGCCAGTCTGCAGTGTGGCTGTCTCCTCAGCGGGCTGCCGCGATGAAGAGAAGGGGTAGCTGGCAGAGCGAGGGATGGGGGCACCACGCTGAGTGTCCAGTTCCTCATGGGCACTCTCGCCGCTCTCATCACTCTCACGACGGTGCCAAGTGTGCCGCTCGGGCTCCAGCTGAGCGTGCTGCTTGTGCAACTGTGGGCCAACACACCAGTGAGTGAGCCGGAGGGGAGAGCCCAGATGCCCAAACACCCTCTCCCCCACACTGCACACACACACGGGTCTCGGCTTTCACTCACATTAGTATCCCACTCACTTCAGACAGGGCACACACCAGTTCTGCCTGCTTTGCTCCATACCTCGCTGGCTGGCCCAGCCGCAGCTGCTCACCTCATGCATGTAGAGTGCGTGGAGACTCATCTCAGTGGAGGCATACTCCGACAGGATCATGCTCTGCAGCTGACCCTCCCAGGCGCTGCTCCCTGAGCTCACAGTCCTCGCATCAGCCCTGCCATCAGACACACGAGTGGTGTTTGATACCCAGGTACCCCCCACACTGCCCATCTTCCCTCTACTCTCATGCCAGGCTTGTTCCTGGGCTGGGTAGGAACAAGCCCTCTGTGGCATCTCCCCAGGTGCACAAGATGACCAGCACTTCAATGGCACTGCCTCTGCCCTACCAGGAGTTTCTCACCACTGTGAGAACACCAGAACCCCAGCACTCCTTTGGGGCCAGCCTAAGCATCTGGGCCTAACTCTGCTTGTAAATATGTCCCTTGCTGTCCCAGGCTGCAGAAACATATGCCACCATGCACCTAGGACAATAGGGTGGCAGTTGGGCAAGGAGTCATGAGATTTGCAAGGTGTTTGGCCCACCCCTCTCCAGTCTGCAGCTTACCCAGAGGCTGTCATGGCACCGGCGCCACGAGGCTGGGCTCCCTCTCCATCCCTTCCTGCTGTCTGGAAGCCACCAGGAGGCTGCTGGGCAGACTGGAGAGGGGAGAAGGAGCGCAGGGCCGAGGCCACTTCGGAGAGGTGGCGAGAGGCCTGTCCATCCCGGCCCATGTGGAAGCCCAGTGCTGAGGAGCCTGCTATTACATTGGCAATCAGGCTGTGTGGCTGCAGAGTTGAAAGGGAGAGAATCAATGTCCTGTTCAGACTCAGAGACCTGATCCCAGCCAGCGACACCTAACTGAGGCACCTCAGCTCTCTCAGCCCCTCTCCCACTTCACAGGGCCCCAGGACAGCCTGCTGCCCTCTCCAGAAACCCCAAAGTATCCCAGCTAGTGCTGATGTACCACATCTGCATCCTTAGATACAACCCAGACAAGGACAAAATTGACCACAGAGCCTGATTATCAGGTTGCCAGCACCCAGCAAGCACCCCGAGAACACCCTGCTTCCCTCCCCCAGCCTGGGCACCTCTGACTCCGACTGCAAGGACTGGATGGAGCTGAAGAGGGCATTTTCAGGCAGCACAGCCTGCTGAGCCAGTGCCACACTGCTGTCCCGGTGCACCCGCTCCTTCAGGAAGCCAATGAAGGCTGTGCTCTCGCGGGGTGGCTGCCACTTGGGGTTGGTGATGGCAAAGTGCATGAGGGACAGCTCTGTCTTGCCATCCTCGGCCTGCTGGTAAATGGAGGCCTCCGTCTTTCCTGCTGACATCCACTGTGAAGCAGAGACAGGTAGTGAGAGACAGGATCTGCTTTACATCTCTGCCAAGCCTGGGGATCCTGCAATCAATCTGGGCAAAGCATACAACACCCAGCATAAGCTGGGCCACAGCTCCATATGTAGCAGGCGCTACACTGGAAGTCCATGCTAGTTCAGCCCTCACAGCCTGGGAAAGAAGCAGCAATCACAGCATCTTCCACCTCCACCCAGAACATGCACTGCTGCAAGGAAAGTGGAGATAAAGGGACTAGTCACAAAACACAGAGCTGAAAGCCTTCTTGCACTCTCCAGCTCACAGTAGGAGCAACAACAGCCAACAAATGACTGTTCTTAAAAGCTTCCTGCCACAGAGAGTCCACCCCCTCTCTAGTTCATGGCCTTGTCACTAGGGAGCTTTTCCTGACAAGTAACCTAAATTCCGAGGCACAGGAAATAGATCCTCTTTCCCTCCACACTAGATTTTACACAATGGAAAATGCTTCTCATCTCCCCAAGTCTGCCCCTACCCTGGGCAGTCCAGCCGGGTTAAATCAGTTCTCAGTGGTCATGCTTTCCAAATGTTCAAGTATCTCAATTCCTCTCTCCTGAGGACACAAGACTCTTGGTTGTGAATGACAAAGCCTGGTTCACAAAATATCAGGTTAATGATCACAGCTAGGCCACAGGAGCCTTCCAGGGCTGGTGACCTGTGCTGGCAGCCCCAGATACCCAGCAGAGATGCAGGTGACTGGGCTGTGGGCTGCCAGGAATGGTGAATTACAGCCTCCCATGAGGCTGAAGGACCAAAGGTGCTGGTGGGGAGCCCAGGCTGCTGACCCATGGTGGTGGGACTTACCGCAGGGTGGCCATGCTGGCGCACGTCCATCTGGGCAAAGGAGCAGGTGTCACCCACACCCACCACCTCCACAGTGAAGTTGCGGAAGAAGTCCACAATGTCCAAGGACTTGGGTCGCAGGCAGACGATGAGGATCAGGGGGGTAATGATGGGGCTCAGGAGCTCCTCCAGGATGAAGACCTGAGCACAGAGATAATGGGATCAGCACAAGCTTGAGGATGTCAAAAATCCCACAGTACCAAAGCCAGACCCCAGCTCCAGCCCTCTTATCTTCTGGGGCAGGGTGTCTCTGAGAACGCTGCCTTGTCCTCTACAAGTCCAGGAGCTGCTCAGCTCCGTGGCAGCTTCTCCCTTCTGCAAGGATGTAGGCGAGTCCCCATCCCAACCCCACGCAAGCCAATCTCACTGCTTTGTACTGGAAGAGCTGGGCAAACTCATCCCTGGTCTCATAGCGGTGGGCATTGCCCTGCCAGTGGTCAGGCATGTAGTGGATGTGTGCCAGGATGACTCGCAGCAGCTGCTCCGGGCAAAATACCAGGTGCTGGTCAGGGATGAAAGACCTGTAGGACAGGACAGGGAAACAACAAGGCATCACTTCCTAGGAGGGCAGGGTGACCAGCCCTTATCACAGCTCCAGCTATAGCCTTCACACCCAAGCCAAACCTCCCTGCCAGCCCAACCCCGGGTTGTTGCTGAATAGCTCCAGCAACACCCCTGTATCATACAACCACTGCACCCAAGCTCACCACTATCCCCCCTTCTCCTGCCTGCCCCCTGACTCTCCAAGGCCATGCCCTTCCCTCAGGCAGATTCACATCCACTTGCCACCAAAGAGCATTTTACGTGGATGGTTGTCAGCCCCACTGCTCCCCACAGCGCTTCTTGGAGCACAGTGTCAGCACAGACCCACCTCACCTGCACACCGTGATGCCCACCCCAAGCAGGGTGACCGTGGTCAGCACGTGCTCGACCGCCAGCACGTCCTCATCATAGATGGTGAGAGCGATGAGCACAGCCAGGATGGAGCCAGCAAAGAAGGCCACGTTCTTGGCCACGATGGTGAGGAGCGGGGAGATAAAGCAGTTCATGTACTTGGAAGCTGGCTTGTACCCTTTGCTGAGGCGTGAGTGCAGTTCATGGTCCAGCTCATTGAAGTGACGGAGGTAACAGCGGCCATAGAGAGACCAGCAGCGGGCACCCAGGCTGCCCGGCTCCCGTTTCAGGATCTCTGTGTAGCTGAAGAAGGCATAGAGGATCTGCCAGATGAGGATGAGGGGGCAGAGGAGGAAGTTAGCAATGCCAATCCAGAGGATGCGAGTGCTGAGCTTCTCAGCCAGCTCCAGGCGGTTCCCAGCCCGCTTGTACTCAGCCTTCAGGCTCCACTCGTTCTCAAAGAGGGAACCGGGCCCCCAGAAGAAGATGAGCTCAAAGTTGTACTTGAGCCCCCGTGTGTAGAAGACAGTGTCTCCCAGCAGGGGCAGGCGGAAGCGGATAGGCAGCAGTGACTTGTTCACCATGGCCACCATGTAGTTCTTGAAGCGGAGGATGCGGTGGTAAATGTCCAGCTCCGTCAGCTCTTTCTTGTGGATGCAGATCTGGTGCTCCTTCTGGATCTGCACGATGCGGGCCTGCACCTCCTGCCACGTGTAGTATGGCAGGGTGGACTGGAAGGGGGAAAGGGGCAAGGTTAGGGCAGGATGAATCCCAGGACAGAAGCTGGGGTGAGCCCTTTCAAACAGCATGTCCCAGTGCACGCCACGGCGTTCACATGCCCCACCAGCACATGAAGCACCTCCTGCACCGCTTCAGCCTGCAGCATCTAAAACCCATACTTTGCCCCACTGCCCTTTACGCCTACATTAGTACAGATGACTGTTTCCCAGTCACTCACACACCAGCTGCCTCAGTGGCACGAACAGAGCTCCAGTTCCCATGGGTCCTCCCAGAGCTGCCATTTAGTGAGCAGGAAGACACAAACAGGGGAAGGGACTTAAGCAGTGTCCCAGAGGGAGCCTGTGAAAAACGTGGGGAGCAACCAAACCTCTTGGCTCACACCACCTTTCTCAAGACACAGTCTCCATTCAAAGGATGATGTTGTTCATCAGAGCAAGGACTCTGGACTAGGAGATATGTGCAAGCCTCAGAGCCCATCTTTGACACACTGATCTTCACCACTGAAGTAGCTCTATGCCTCAGCTGCCCCCCCACCCAGTAAACCAGGAAGATGACCTGTCCTCAACCCAGGGAGGTACAAGAATACCCTTGCTTATGTTTTCTCTGTTGAAAGGCATCACAGAAAAGGCCATCACTAAAAAATAAACATATTGGGTAGCAGATGGCACAGGAGTGTGCCAGCAGCAGAGAGGCAAGCTGGGCAGAAGGGTTAACATGGTATAAATTGGCTGTTGGAGAAGAGACTCAAAGGATGTCAGTGCAGTTAGGGAGCAGAGGGAAGAGGTCTCCCAGAGAAGCTGCCTTGGGGGAGAAAGAATGAGCTGCTTCTAACCACCCGACAAATGCCTCCTGCATCCCTTAGCAGCATCGTACGTGGCCCTTGGCCCAGCTACTTACCATGGGGATTTTCAAGGCATTGATGTAAAAAGAGTGAATCTCCCAGTAGCAGCAAATGTTGTAGATAAACTTGACAAGTCGGTGGATCCAGAAAACCCCAGCTATCACCAGGATGCAGATGAGGAAGCTGTTTGCCTGGATTCTGCGAGCAAGAAGGAACAAGTAGTAGGAGACAGGCTCAGGCAAGTGCCCCGAGTACCTGAGAAAGCAAGAGTATTGGCCGACATGCCCTCTGCTGCCCCTACCTTGCACTGCAGACATTTGGAGGCAGGAAAGCATCTGGCAGAGTCACTTTAATGGGTTCACTGGGATGCTGGCTGTGATTTACTGCTTTGTTGGCAAAGAGAATGTCGTAATCAACACAGCTGATAAGAAAGGTGGTGAATGCCACCACAAAGATGAACTGCCTGTAAAAAAAGGGAGCAGGCATCAGGGAATCATCCTTCTGCCTCCCAAAATGTGAAGCGGCTAAGGTTACATGTCATGGAGATGCAGTCCCACAACCATGGCGATAGGAAAGCTCATGGGCACAAGTTCCACAAAGTGGAATGTAGGTTTGGGGCATGAAAATCACAGCAAAGAAGAGACAGGACAACTATAAAGGGAGCCTTCCCTCCTACCAGCTGCAGGAGCTCAGCAAATTCTTGTAGCTGCTTTCCAGCAGCTGTCACAGACACAACAGAGAAGGAACCTACGCTTACATGAGCTCAAAGATCTCTCCAATGAGCATGCAAGTGAAGCCATTCTTCTGATGCAGGTTATAAACGTGAAAGCCACAGTCAAGGAAAACAGTCTGGAGACTCCTGCCTTCTGATGAAGTAGGGAGAGGCTTCTGGCCCACTGGCATCTGCAGCTCCCCAGAGCATAACTAATGCCATTTTATAAGGCCAGCAGCATTCTCTGTTACTGAGCAGGTCACCCATTAGTTTCCTTTCTCCATTATCAGGCCCTGAAGGTCCTGTGAACCAGGTAGACAAACCAAACAGATTTCTTCTTCCCCTCCACACCAGCCTTAAGATTCCAGAGCATCAGGCTGATTACCCCCTTCCATGCTGGCCTTGAAGGTCCCAGGCACCCAGCCAACAAGGTGGCAGCGACAACCCCATCCCAGAACAGGGAACTGTAACAGCACCTGGATCACTATCCACAAAATCAAGGAGTTACAAGTCCTAAGTGGGAACTTGGACGAACTGCTGCTGGACAGTGAAAACCAGGAGCCTCCAGTAGACAGGATGCTCCCACCATCATCTGCTTCCTCCGACAACTGAGTGACTCGTATTCTTTTATATGGTTTTTGAATATAGATGATTGTTATACTGATACAGCAAACCACGCATTAAGATATGACACAGTCTGCAGAAAGCTCTGGTGATTAAAAACCATAAGTTAAGCAGTGCACTATACTGTTTGTAAAGTTATACTGCACTGATTCTGCTTGCTGTGCTACTCTGATTATAAATGCTGTGGTATGCTAACAATAAAACCCTGGTAAGAAAATAAAGGTTTAATTATAACTTAGTACCATCATCACTGTGCGAAGGATCCCTAAAAGAACCTGTCTGTCCCCTCACTGTTGGGTGACAGCACCCCACAGGTATGGGCATTCAGCCAGCCCCAAATCCCTCCAGAGCCGTGTGGTGTCCTAAGGGAAGGGGCAGGCGCTGCCCCAGCTCCGAGTCACACCAAGCCCAGGCTTCCCACCAGCACTGTGAGCCCAGGAGGTGGTGGGTGCCCCCAGCCCTGTGAAAGGATATGCGAGAGAAGAAGAGGTCCAGGTTCTCGATGTGATGCCACGGAGCTGACGGAGGAAGCACACAGGGTGAGGGACCCTCCGGAACAGCAGCCTTGCTGCTGTGACAGGCACAGCCCCACCTTTCCCCGGGCCCTCGAGGCCCCTGGCCGGCCCCACAGCCCCCCATCCCGCTCCGCGACCGGCCTCCCCCCCTGTCCCCGGCTGCTCCCCCATCCCAGCCCCCCGCACCAGCCCCCCGCAGTCCGGTCCCCAAGGCCTCCACTGCCTCACGCCTCCCGTCCCCCCACCCCTCAGGCTTGGGCCGCCGCCCCCGCCGCCGGCTGCCAGGCCCCAACCCCCGGCGCCGATACCGCCGCTCACACTTGGCGCCCTCGGGGACGTGGACGAGCAGATCGCCGCCACCGGGCGGGGACTCGGTGGAGGAACTCTCCAGGCGCTGGTACTGCGTCTCGAAGTGGGCCATGGCGGAACCGCCCGGCTCCGCCACCGGCCCCGGGCCCGGGCCCAGCCCGCTCTGCCCCCGTCCGCTCTGTGACTGGCAGCAGCGACTGCCAATGGCAGGCGCGGGGTGGGTCAGGGCACAGCCAATGGGAAAGCGGAGGGCGGGAGCCGGGCTGAGCTTAGCGGCGGTCCATAGGCGGGTGGGATGTGACGTTTGACAGCTGAGTGGTGCTTCCGGGTGGCGGCGGCGGTGGTTGCACGTGAGTGACAAGGTGCGTGTCCCCTTTACCGGCGGCGGGGGTCGCTCGCTCGCTCGGTCCATGGGGTCAGCAGCTTCGCTGGGGGACAAAGGAGGAATCGCGGCGGTAACGGCCCTGAGGCACTAACGGGGTGGGGGGACCCGGGGGCAGAGCCTGTGGGTGGGTCCCGCCGCAGAGACGCCGCGGGGGGACCCGGTCAGGCGGGGAGACAGGGCCCGCTCGGTCACCCGCGGGTGGTTCTCGGCGGCCCCGGGTGCAGGCCCGTGGCTCAGGCGCTGTCCGTTCCGCGGGGAGCAGGAGCGATGGCGGCCCCGGAGAGCAGGTCGGTTTTCGAGGCCGCCCAGGACGCCGTCCTGCTGCGCGGGCTCACCCTCCTCACCGGAGTTGCTGCGGAGGCCTGGGGCGCCGAGCCGGCACCGGTGAGCCACGGTGAGTGGGGCTCCGCGGGGCGGCGAGGGCTGGAGTGTGCGCCCAAGCTCCTGTCGGCCATAGAGAAGGAGCTCTGTCCCCAGCACAGCTTGAGTGGCCATCCTGGAGCATGGGAGCTGCCTGGTGGATGGGTACCAAGGTCCCCAAGTTCCTTCTACAGCCATAGGGCTCTTTTTGTGGCTGAAAAGAGACCCAGGAGGCCCTGCTCTTTGCAGTGCAGCCTGGGGAGCCACCTGTGCACAGCCTTTCCTCCTTCTTCCAGACAAACCCGCAGCTGCTTTCAGTGAGGAGAAAGCCCATGGGGTCCATGCGGTGCCAGAGCGGATGGGCTGCTCCACCTGTGAGCAAGTGTTCAGCAGCCGGGAGGAGCAGGTGAGTGGGGCTGAGAAGCCAGCATAAGGTAGGAGCAGGGTGGTGGGGTCCTACTGCAGAGGCTCAGCCCCAGCATGGTGCAGCCCAATGCTGCCTGTTTCCCAGAGCTCCACTGGCTATGTCCTGTTGGCATCTGGTACTTAAATACTACATGTTATTGCCTAAAATGTCATTTACTGGAGGCAAACAGTACATGCAGCACAGGCCTATGCCTTTTCAGGTTAACTGTTAGGTGGCTAACTCCTTAATGTAGTCTTCCAGTCTGAATCACTGTAGGGTACAATCATCAGTTCATCCCTCAGGGTCTGTCACCTCAGGCCCTTTGGTGGTGGGGGTTTCCGTGGACCGAGACCCTGCTGGCTCATATCTCTTTCTTCCGTAGACTGAGCACTACCGTCTCGACTGGCATCGCTTCAACCTAAAGCAGCGGCTCCTGGGGCGCCAGACATTGCCAGTAGAAGCGTTTGAGGAGAAGACCCGGGCAGGTGAAGAATGGAGCCATCCCAGCAGAGCCCAGGGGCTGCAGCCGGTCTGTCCAGTGGTGAAACCTTTGGGTACCTCTGCTGGCTCAGAGTCCCTTTGTTCTGCCCCTCTGGAGTTTTCTGGGAATGCACCACTGCTCCTAAGCCCTGCTGACTTGTTATGGGGAGAAGAGGGTGTTCTACCTCAGCCTTTGCCTAGGCAGGGAGTCTTTGGGCTAGAGCCCCAGACCCCTGTATTGGACAGGACGTGTACAGGGTTGTGGGCTAGCTTTTGGAGTCACCTGCAAGATTTTGGGGAGGCTGCTGTTTAATCTTTGCCTAGCTGTAGTGCTTCATTTTCTGTCCCTTGCAGGTAGTGTCTCCAGCATCTCGGGGTCCGATTCAGAGAACTCTGATTCAAGCAGTGAGTCAGAGTTGCTGCCCTCTGCCAGCAACAGTCCTGGGACCCTCCAGATCCCACGTTCCCACAAGGTGCTGTTCCGCAATGCAGAGGGCCAGCTCATTTCTGCCTACCGCTGCGTGCTGGGCACCGGGAAGGCAAGTCACAGCCCAGGTTGTTGGGAGAGGGACCCCAGAGGAGATAGGTGGCATTGGGTTGTAGTCATCTGTCTGACAGTCCCACCCCTCCCCCAGCGTGCCATGATGGGAAGGGTGGTTTGTGGTATCAGGTCAAAGCCCTAGGCTTGCTGGTTTTTAATGCTGAGCTGCTCCAGAAACCTGCTTCTGGTGCTGGCAGAGGGGTTGGTCTCTATCCTGGGGGACAGCAAGAGGTAACAAGGTGAACCCATGGGTGCTAGCAAGGGTGTCTATGTATTAGGGTGGCAGAGAGGAGCCAGTGGAGCTGGCAGCATCACTGCAGAGCCTCGATGCAAGCACGTGCTGGGTTGTGCTGATGATGGGCGGCGGGCACTTTGCAGGAGCTGTGTTCCGAGGGTGAGTACAGGGGTACAGAGCTGGGATTGCCCCTCTGAACATGGTCAGTGGCACTGGGCATTGAATGGCCACCCCTCCGTGCACTCCTTTGTCACAGTGCTTACCACATCCTGGGCACCCACAGCTGCAGTCTTTGCTTGAAAGCTGACTAAACCCAGTTGTGCTGCTAAAGAAATACTAATCTTTAGGACCCCAGGGACAAGCCACAAGCCCTCCAGGGTCCCAGGAGCATCAGGTCCTCTGAATGGGCCATGTTGCTCATGCTTGCCCCTCTCCACAGCCCCCAGGTGCAGGAGCACAAGACATTCCACCGCTACACAGTGCGAGCCCGGCGGGGCACAGCCCAGAGCCTGTGGGATGCCCACACCCCAGGGTCGGCACCCAGATCAGCTGGAGCCTCCCTGCGGCGTTACAATGAGGCTGCCTTGCTCAAGGTGAGGATGCACCACAGCACGGGGCTTTGGGCAGGGAGACATGGCTGTGGCTGTCTTTGAGAGGTGCCACCACAAAGCTGCTGGAGAACTTGGGTGGGGTGTGAGCTCTGAGAGTCAGGGCTCAACTGAGACTGCTCTGTCCTGGGTCTGTTCCTGCTCCAGAGCTACCTGTATCCGCGCAGTGTGCTCAGTACTCCACAGTGCCTCCCCTTCCTCCCCAGGATATTCAGGACCTGCTGTTGGCCTGGGCACAGCACCTCAATGAAGCTCAGCGCATCTTCCTCCGGGCCCCTCGTCACAACCGTGCACTGCTCTTTAGTGGCAGGAACCCACCCCTCAGCCGGGGCGACCCTCGCATCTTCCACATCCCCCTCAGCACCCGCAGGGCCACCCTGCGAGAGGTGCTGCGAGTCCACAGCATGCTGGCCAGCCTGCAGGTGTATGGTGAGTTTGACCAGCCCCAGGGACTGTGGGTCAGAGCAGGTAGGGTGATGTGGTCCCTTGTGCACTAGCGGATGCTGCCTATGGGGTAGAGGTGCTAGGTCTCCATGGGGTGCTCCATGTCCCCAGGCAATGACAGGAGCACCCTTGCTGCCCAGGGAAGGACACGCCACTGGAGGATATCACTGGGTCCCCCCGGAAGGGCTGGCAGAAGAGGCGGCAGAAAGCAGAGGTGGATCCCCCGCAGGATGACATGAGTGGTGAGCTGAGCCATGGAAGGAGATGTGTCTCTGAGCAAGCATGGGGGTCTGGTATTACGATGCAGAACCAGATCTGCAGCGCTGTGACAAGGCCTGGCACCACAGTGGGGATTTGTGGGGTGGGAACTTGTGCTGGGCAGAAGGGTAGGGTGTGCTTGGCTGAGACCAGTGATTTGTGCTGTGTGGGGGGCCTCAGCCCCTGTCTTACCACCCCCCTCAGCCCCAGAGGAGGAGAAAGAAGAGGAGGAAGAAAGCCCTGCAGGGGAATTGGAGACTGTGGAAGTGACACTTGGGACCTTGGACCTCCGGGAGTTCGAGGTGATGCCCAAGCGAAACCGCAAAAAGAGGAAGAAGAGGGACAAGAAGGTGGAGAAAGGTGAGGGGCTGGGGGCAGTGTAGGAAGGTGTAGGGGAAGGGACTGCCATGTCTGGGTTGCAGGCTGGCCATGCCGTCTCCCTCACCATGTGCTCCCTGTGCAGGTCCCTGTGCTGAAGAGATGCGATGCCATGGTACCCAGTGCGGACACCCTGGCCTGGAGCTGGTGACAGAGCTGCAAGGGGAGGCTGAGCCCCTTCCCTGGGACAATGGAGGTACTTAGGGTCTGGAGCTGGGCTGGGTGAGTGCCTGCCCCATTTCCTGGTGGCTTTGCAGTGGGGTGGAGAGCTCATTGTCACACAGGTGCCCAGAGCAACTGTGTGTGGAATGGCTGTTGTGAACCTAAATGCCTTTGAGTGAGCCCTGTGTACAGAGCAGTAGCTCTGAACTCAGGGGATGGTCAGCACCTGGCTAAGTCAGGAGTGTTGGGGGAATTTGAGTGTGTCTCATCTCGGGAGAGGGCTCAACTGCTGCCAGCAGTGCCAAGCAATGCCATGACATATTGTCACAGACTGATGGTGCTGGAGATCCTGCAGTGCCCAAATCCAGTTAGCAGGACAGTTCTTTAACTGTGCCATGTGTGCTTCCAGTCATACCAGAGCACCATTCTGCTCGGGGAGCCATCAGACTCCCTTCTTGTTCTTCCCTTGCAGGCAACCCTCAGACCCAGGTCCGTGATGCCCTGTTCACCGCCTGCAAAACGGGGGATGTGGGGATGCTGCGACACCTCCTGGGTGTACCAGAGCACAGGGCCCTGTCAGGGGCCAGCAAGGGTGGGGAGGGCACACAGCCCTTGGATATGCCACACTCCCTGCTCAATCAGCCCATGGATGAGCACGGCTGCACCCTGCTTCACGTGGCAGCGCGGGCAGGGAAGGCTGAGGCTGTGTGCCTGCTGCTGGAGGCAGGAGCGGACCCTGCCCTCAGGTACGGCTGCTGGGTGCCCAGTGGTTGAGGAGCACAACCCTGCTGTGGGAGCCCAGTGGCTCGTTCCTGTCTCAGCTAAGGGAGACTGGTACCAGCCTTGTTCTGAGACAGCCAGGCTTGGTGTCTGCCAGATGGGATGTCTTGGTTTGTTACAGGAGGCATAAGAGCTGAACCACTGTTCTCTG